ATTTCCTATAAAATTTGGTAGGAAAAATGGGGTTGAGTCAGGTCTCTGACCATCTAATATATGGTTTTATTTAAATCATGGCCTCTAATTAATCATGATAAATAAAAAAAGGATAGAAATATGATTGATGGATAATATTTAAGATTAAAATATAACTGGCATATAATAGTTTGGCATTTATATAATTTAATAACATGTAATATAACATTAAAAATATCAAATTATTTGATCGTTTTGGAGAAACTAGAAGTTTTGCTTAAGAAGATTTAATTTATTTAAGTAAATTTAGTTTTTTTATTTTTTATAAATAATTTATTTACTTACAAAAATATGAATCATATTAAAAAAATATAAAATCAATAATAAAATCTATCAATCTATTTATATTTTAGGTTAAAAACACTTTAGCAAAATATTATATCATAAAATATTTTGATTCGAAGATTTTATATTTATTCATCCTTTTTTCACCCACCAGTTTTTTATCATTAGAAATCAAAGACAGACAACTAATCTTTTTGATTTACGACACTTGCTTATTGCTTTGAATTTATTCTTTGAGCTAAAAATTTTTAAATAAATTTGTGTAAATTTTAAATAAATATCAAAATAGAATAAAATTTTTAAATTAAAAATTATTCTTTAAATTAATAAAGATAATAATATTAGTGGAATAAAAAAGATAAAAAATTAAAATAAATAAAGCTATCCAATAAATTCAATGAGCTTTATGGTTTTTAATTAGTTTTTATAATTAAAAATATCACAATCCAAAACAAATAAACTGTTTTTACTCAAGTTAAAGTGTCAAATTTGAGAGATTAATACAATTTGCTAAAGCAGAACCTAAGCATGATGCACCTCTATCACCAATTTAATTTCGACTTTTTAAATATTGAAGAAAAAATATATCATTAAATAGTTAATTAGAAGGAAAAAATGAAGAAAAAATATGAAATAATAATATTAATTAATAATAAAAGCAATACTTGAAAATAAAATGATGAGCTAAATTAACAAACAAAATACAAAAAAAAGCAAGCACAATAAAAAGAAAAAGAAAAAATAGCTTTATTGTTTTAAATTAGTTTTTATATTTAAAAATATAGCAATCCAAAACAAATAAACTGTTTTTACCAAAGCTCAAGTGTCAAATTTGAGAGATTAATGCAATTTGCTAAAGCAGAACCTAAGCCTGATGCACCCTTTGCACCAATTTAATTAAAACTTTTTAAATATTGAAGAAAAAATATACCATTAAATAGTTAATTAGAAGAAAAAAATGAAGAAAAAGTATGAAATAATAAGATTAATTAATTAGTAATAAAGTCAAAAGTTGAAAATAAAATTATGAGCTAAATTAACAAAGAAAGTACAAAAAAAAAGCAAGCACAATAAAAAGAAAAAGAAAAGGAAAAAATAGCTTTATTGTTTTTAATTAATTTTTATAATTAAAAATATCGCAATCCAAAACAAATAAACTGTTTTTACCCAAGCTCAAGTGTCAAATTTGAGAGATTAATGCAATTTGCTAAAGCAGAACCTAAGCCTGATGCACCTTCATCACCAATTTTATTCCAACTTTTTAAATATTGAAGAAAAAATATATCATGAAATGGTTAATTAGAAGGAAAAAAGAAGAAAAAATATGAAATAATAAGATTAATTAATTAATAATAAAAGCAAAACTTGAAAATAAAATGATGAGCTAAATTAACAAACAAATTACAAAAAAAAAGCAAGCACAATAAAAAGAAAAAGAAAAAATAGCTTTATTGTTTTAAATTAGTTTTTATATTTAAAAATATAGCAATCCAAAACAAATAAACTGTTTTTACTAAAGGTTAAGTGTCAAATTTGAGAGATTAATGCAATTTGCTAAAGCAGAACCTAAGCCTGATGCACCCATCGCACCAATTTAATTTTCACTTTTTAAATATTGAAGAAAAAATATACCATTAAATAGTTAATTAGAAGAAAAAAATGAAGAAAAAGTATGAAATAATAAGATTAATTAATTAATAATAAAGTCAAAAGTTGAAAATAAAATTATGAGTTAAATTAACAAAGAAAGTACAAAAAAAAAGCAAGCACAATAAAAAGAAAAAGAAAAGGAAAAAATAGCTTTATTGTTTTTAATTAATTTTTATAATTAAAAATATCGCAATCCAAAACAAATAAACTGTTTTTACTAAAGGTTAAGTGTCAAATTTGAGAGATTAATGCAATTTGCTAAAGCTGAACCTAAGCCTGATGCACCTTCATCACCAATTTTATTCCAACTTTTTAAATATTGAAGAAAAAATATATCATGAAATGGTTAATTAGAAGGAAAAAATGAAGAAAAAATATGAAATAATAAGATTAATTAATTAATAATAAAAGCAAAACTTGAAAATAAAATGATGAGCTAAATTAACAAACAAATTACAAAAAAAAAGCAAGCACAATAAAAAGAAAAAGAAAAAATAGCTTTATTGTTTTTAATTAATTTTTATAATTAAAAATATCGCAATCCAAAACAAATAAACTGTTTTTACCGAAGGTTAAGTGTCAAATTTGAGAGATTAATGCAATTTGCTAAAGCTGAATTTATGCCTGATGCACCCTTTGCACCAATTTAATTAAAACTTTTTAAATATTGAAGAAAAAATATATCATTAAATATAGCAAGTTTCCTTCAAAATTTACAAAAAGTGAGTTTTATATACAATTTTATACATTTTATAAAATTAAAATTTTAAATATTTTTTATGAAATTTTTCCATCCTAGGTTTTCAAAATTTATTTTTTTCAAAAAAAAAGTTATGCTATGCTTTCTAAAAATTAGCTTTATTTATAATGTTATTAAGATATAAATTAAATAGATATTTCACTCTCGTTAATTAGGAGGAAAAAATGAAGAAAAAATATGAAATAATAAGATTAATTAAAAATTAATAAAACTAACAAAAAATGAAAAAATTAGAAATCATAATAAAAAGAATAGGGAAAATCAATCAAATAAATTAAAAGGACTATAATTTTTTAAATTAACTTTTATAATTGAAAATATTGCAATGTTAAACAAATAAATAGCTTTTATTATTAAGTGTAAGTTTTAATAGCAAAAAATGAAGAAAAAATATCAAATAAATAATAAAAAATAGAATAATAAATAAATAATTAAAAATTGAAATTAAAATTAAGCTAAAACGGCTAAAAAATTTTTATTAAGTGTAAGTTTTAAAAGCAAAAATGAAGAAAAAATATCAAATAATAAAAAATAGAATAATAAATAAATAATTAAAAATTGAAATGAAAATTAAGCTAAAACGGCTAAAAATTTTAGATTTAACAAAAATCAATAAATAATCATAATAATTTCTTTTATAAAAATTATTATATTTAAAAAAATTGAAAATTAAATATACAAAAAATATTAAAAATAAAAAAATTAATATCTTTTAATTAAATATACCTCAGATCAATATGGAGAACCTAATGAGATAAAAGTGAAGAGCTTAAAAACTTTTTTTATTAATTTATATAAATTTAAAGGATATTAACAAAAAAATTAATAATTACTTCTTCTAATTTATTATATTCTTTAATCTATTATATCATTTTTTTTTATTATCAAAAATATATTTTGCAATTTATGAAATTTGATTAATTAATTAATTAATTATTAATGGATAAAAAGAACAAATAAATATAATAATTAATTAATTATCAAATATTAATTTATAAATTTGGTTTTATGAAGAGATATCACAGAAAAATAAATTCTATTTTCACTATTTAAACTTAATATTTGTATTTAAAACATATACTTAAAAATATATATAGTAGGAATTATAGATGGCCAGTTATTTATTTAGTCATATTTGAAAAAAATCTAGTAGTTAATTAATGTTCTTAAATAAAAATAATGTTGTTAGTAGATTTTTCTGTTTTAGCTCTGTAATTTTATGAATATTTATAATATCTCTAATTTTAGCAAGATGTCATACAAAAATTTGATGGTTTGCATGCCACTTATAATGAAATATATTTTTTATTTATTTATTAAAAAATCTGATTTATAAATATTTTTTTTAAATATTTAATTTATAATAATTTCAAAAATAAATAATTTTTTTACAAAATACTTGAAAATATTTCAAAAAGTTATTTTATTCTAGTGAATTCGCATTCTCATTATCCTTTTTATGCAATAACTAGCTAGCTAGCTCCTATTATATTTTTAAGTAAACATTTTAAAAACAAATATTAAAATTTAATAAAGAATGTTAAGCAAACTTTTTTGTGATTTCTCTTACTAACTAAAAGCAAATTTATAAATTGATATAATTTATTTGTTCTTTTTATCCACTAAATATAAACTAATTAAATTTCAATAATTTGCTATTCAATATTTTTGAAAATAAAAAATAAATGATATAAAAGATTAAAGAATACAACAATTTAAAAGAAGTAGTTATTTATTTTTTATAAATATACTTTAAATTTATTTTTACTAATATTAAAAGTTTTTAAACTCTTCACTTTAATCTCACTAGATTCTCGAAATTTATCTGTGGTATATTTAATTTATAAATATTATTTTTATTATTATAATTAGCATTTTCAATATATTTAATTTTGATTTTATTTAAAATATCATTTTTCTATTGGAAATTATCACCTAAATTCATTTATTTTATATATAAAAATTATTTTAATTTTATTTTCTATTTAAATTTTTTAATTAATTATCCATTTTATATTTATTGATATTTTCATTCATTTTTTTCCTATTAATACTTTTGCTTAATAAAAATAATTATTTATTTTGGATTGTGATATTTTTCATTAATAATTTGAATTTAAAACAATTTAACTCTTTTAATTAATTTATTAATTTATTAGCTTTTAATATGATTTATTTTTCTTTTTCTTTTATTTTTATTTGTGTTTTTTTCCTTCTATCTTTCTTAATTTACTTCATTTTTTATTTTTAAAATTTGCTTTTATTAATTCATATTTTATTATTTCATATTTTTCTTCATTTTTTCCTTCTAAATAACTAATTAATTTATCAAATAATATTTTTTGTTCAATATTTAAAAAGTTGCTAAGAAATTGATGATTAAGGTGTATCGAGTTTAGCTTCTGCTTTAGGAAATTGCACTAATCTCTATAGTTTGGAACTTTTTCTTAGGTAAAAACAATTTATTTGTTTTTGTTTGTGATATTTTTCAATATAAAAATGAATTTAAAACAATATAACTCTTATTTATTAGCTTTTTATTTGATTATACTTGTGTTAGCTTTTTTTCTATCATTCTTAATTTAACTCATTTTGTATTTCCAATATTTGCTTTTATTAATTTATTTCTTATTATTTCATCTTTTTTCTTCTAAATAGCTTATTAATAAAATTTTTTTTCTTCCATATTTAAAAAGTAAGAGTTTCATTCATGATTAAAGTGCATCAAGTTTAGGTTATGCTTTAAGAAATTGCACTAATCTTTCTGATTTGGTACTTTTTCTTGGGTAAAAACAGCTTATTTCTTTGGATTTTGATATTTTTCATTATAAAAATAAATGGTCAAAGCATGCTAGGTATCTACCTGGAACCAAACATAATATATATCCACCGTGTTATCAAACATGGAATATTACCACCTCTAAAAATTGGTGGATATCTAACATGTTTAGGTTAGGTGGATATCTAACATGTTTTGGTCCCCAGTGGACATTTATCATGTTTGATAACACG